TTTTTTTTTTTTTTTTTTTTTTTTTTTTTTTTTTTTTGCTTTTGCTCTTTTTTTTTCCCCTGGAGTGTTTAGAAGTGCTTGCTCAAGCAAATACTACTAACACTATTCTCACTTACTACATAGCCAAATACAGGCCAACACTGTGAACGAATTTCTTTTTACTGTCAAACGTTGGCAGTGTAGCATGAGATAGCTGACACTGAGGATGTTTCTCCCTTTTGCTTTAGGTTTTTTGGTATTCTTTTTCTCAACAACAACAGTATCTAGAAGCAAATCAAGGGAGTTACTTAAGGCACTGTAAAATTAGGCAGGGTAGTAAAAAGGCTATCATTTCTACTAATGTTTTCCTCCAAATTTTAAAACTGTGAAAAAAAATCCCATGTTTTAGATAGGGAAACAGTGCCAGAAGAAATTGACTTGTCGTTTGATAAAGCTTATGATTAGGGTAATAAATTAAATGGTTTGGGATTTTTGCAAAGTGGAATCAGCTTTTGATTGCTCAGAAATTGACTAGAGTTACCATCTGTCAATAGCTGATGGTTCATTTCATTCAAGTGATATACTTGATTATATACTCAAAATATACTGGCCAGTGGTGAGTCTGTGCTACAGACAGGGTGAGTGGATGGACTGTCAATGGCTTATTGGGGCTATAATGCACTGTATTAAAAAGTTTATGTAGCTTTTACTGTAAGCCAAAGTAACAAGAGTGTAAGGTTTTTGTTTCTGTCTTTTTAATAGTGAAATAGGAGTTCCTTCTGCAATAAAGCCAGTAACACTTTTTGTCACAAGGTGGTAGCAGATATGCAAGTATTGCCAGCACTTTGATGTAGTGCAGTTGTCTCAGACATTTTCAGCAGAGATTGAAGTGTGAAATATGAAGTTAATGTACTAAAGAATTAACAGATGCACATTGTTATTTTATAAGTAAACACCCGTATATTTACCCTTCTGCAGCATTTTGCAGAGCCAGTATGCTATGTTTATGTCCTAATTTTTTTTTTTAAAAGTACTGTGGAAGGAAATGTACAATGCAGTGGTAATATATAAATATGCCTGGTCTTTTCATTATAAGTAGTTTGATCAAGTGATATGTAGAACTCAGCCTCTTCTAACCACGCTACCATATTATTCAAGCAGATTGGATAAAAAATCCTCCCCAAAGTGAGTTGATTAAAGCATTTTTTTCCTTAGAAAACAAAAATATTTTGTTTTCCATAGGAAGGGATTGAAAATCTTAAGTTTATATACAAGGTGAAGGAAAAAAAAAAAAAGGTAAGGAAATCCAAATTTAAGTGCTCAACCCTAGGTATTCGCTAGCAGATTCTATTGCACTCTGTTAAACAGTACTGGGATATGTCTTTTTGTGCTTGCTGCTGAGAAGCTTTAAAGGGATGGAGGAGAGATTTGTTTTACAGATTCCCAATACAAGAAATGTTTCATTTTTTGTTTAATGAGTCTTGTTTAATGAATGCTACTAATTGTTTAATGAGTCTCACTAATGAGTGGATAGTTAGATATTTTTTCATTTGTAGTTTCTGCCTTAAGAAAATGAAGTGCCTTTCATTGTAAGATCCATATTTTAAAGTATCTTTGAAAAATGGAATATCAATTTCTGATGTCCTTATATTGAGCAAGCCGTGTCCTACACCCTTTTTTCTTAGCTTTTCATAAATTAAATGTTCTGTGTTTGTGGGGTATATTCCATTGTGAAGTGGATTTCATTTAGGAGTACTGGAGTTGTCTTGAGCTATCTAAACATTTCAAGCCGTTGCTTGTGAAATAATTCACAACACTCTCAATTTAAACAGGCAGTTCCATGGGGGAAAGTTATTAGGAACTTTCTTGTCTTTAATGATCAATTAAAAGAATACAAAATGCAAATATAAATAGTTTATAAATGTCTTAGTGTGATGAAGTATGTCAGTGTACATACTCGGATGTCCTGATCAGAAGTCACACATCAGGGGAACTGAACGCAGTCTGAAATTATTCTGCTATTCTTTTCCATAGCATGCACTTCAGTCTATGGCCATCTGGTCTCTCAGGGTCTTGCTGGGTTGGTGAAGGGCACATTTTTCTCTGTGCATCACCAAATCTGATCCCTAGGCAGAGATCTCCAAATGCACAATCAGGAATTGTTACTTCATGCTGCTTTCAAGAACATCTGAGTTGTTTACTGCGCCTTGCAGACCTGTTGTTGTGTTACTGTTAGGTTTTCCAGTTACTTTTCATTGTTCTTTGGTTTGTTACATAGAGGAATGGTACCAGAGCTGGACTGCAGAGAGCAGTGGGAGATGCGGAGGTGAATGTCTCGTGCTTGGTTCACCCATTGCTCGCTTCTCCTGTAGAGAAAAAACTTTCCTCCATGCTCTCCCCAAGGGGAGGACAGACTACTTGATGAATGGACATATCTTTGGCTTATGGCATCCCACCTTCTGGTAGATACAGCTGCTTTGTCTACAGTTAGAAGTTAAGCATGGTTTGGCTTGAACTGCCTTCACTGAAACACCAGCAACAGTAGCTTCCCACAGCTTGGGTCCAGCCAACAATTACTGTCTCATCCTATCCCTGGACAAGATCAACATATCTGAGAAAAACATTCAACAATGACCCCTTCCATGTTTCTGGAGAGTCAAAACTTTGGCAGAGGCAAAAAATCCTTAGATTTTTGGCCCTTTGATTTTCTTCATGCTTTTTCTACCCTGTGTTCCCCACTTCATTCAGTTGTCTGTGACCCCACGCATGTGAGCAGAGCTGAGATTCTCTAAGGGACACAGATAGCAGCTATCTCAGGGGGCAAAAGGAAGAATTAATAGATATATTCTGTGTCTCTGTTAGGGAAGAAAAAAGCTGTCAGAAAAGAATGAACAAGCAAGTGAATGATGCAGGATCTCAGCAGACCCTCAGCCAAGGCAGAGATAGAAGCTGCACATAGGTAGAAGCTAGTGACATGTATACTTAATTTCTCTGCTTTGCAAAGGTCTTACTGCAGTTTTGCTGTGGGGCCAGCGACTACTCATTGCTGGCTGTCTCCAAATGTCTTGTTGGCTGCTGCACATGCACAGACTGCTTTGGGCAGTCTTTTCAGAGTTTTGAGACTAGTATAAAAATAGACTGAGCCTGGAAGTCTGGATTATCATCATTGCTATGGACACTTCCAAGCTGTCATTTTATCTGCCCTGAATATTTTCCTTATTTTCGTGGTTGTGCTCAAAAGCTGGCTCAAATTCCCAGTGCAACTGTAGTGAACCTTGGTCTCTTATCCATTCTAATACACATTTCACTAAAATCCTTCACCATCCCAGCCCTTGCTGTCATCAGTACTTGATTTTGAATGCTTCCATTATGTTTGCATCTGCTGTAATTTTACTTTTTTTTATAGTATCAGCTTTCATTAGTTATGATGTATTTGGAAATCAGTAATAATAATAATAGTTTTGTCAAGATATCTTTTGAAATAATTTTTTAAATAATTTTTTAAACTGCCTGTAGATTGTTTTGGGGTATGTCACATGTACGTTTCATGTTTAGACAATGGATGCTACTTTATCAAACCTTGTGAAAGGATATTGGGATGGACAGTCTCTAGAAGTCTGATGTACATTATTTTATAATTTTATTTTTCCAGTGATACAAACTGGGACTAAGTGGCTAGGAAGCAGCACTGCTAAGTACAACCTGGATGTCCTGACTGAACGTAAGCCATCAGTGTGCCCTGGCAGTAAATAATGCCAAAAGTCTTCTGGGCTGTATTAACAGTATACCAGGGAGAGTCAGGAATTCAACATTCATTAAGCAACTTCGGTGTCTAGCTTTGGGTACCTCACATACAAGGAAGATAATGATAAACTAGAAGTACTGTAGTAGAGAGCAGGGAGTTGTAGCATTTGTCCCTGGTACAAGACTGAGAGAAATAGACTTGTTTGGCTTAGAGAAGATATCTCATAGCAGCCTACCAACACCTAGAAGGAAATTATCAAAAGAGATGAATCCAGGCTCCTTTGGTGTATTGGTAGGAGGATAAGATGCAGTAGGCAAAAATTTAAACTAGAGGTTTGGATGGATGTAAGAAGAAAGGTTTTCCCCATAGGGGCAAACAAGCAATTAAATAGGTTGTCAGAGTAGTTGTAAGGAGTTTATTGTCTGATATTTTTCAGAAGCCAGCAGGATAAAACCCTGACCTGGCCTCCTAGTGGACCTTGGATGGAATGAGCTTCTAAGGTCCCTTCCAACCTGAATTATTCTGATTCCATG